GGCTACATGAGTTTTAAAATATCGGCCAAAATCCCAATATCGTGCATCCCCAATTGAAATAATCTTCAGCTAATTTAGTAGTTGATTAATTGTTAACTGGAGTATAGAGACTGTAAAACATGCCTTTAGTTACTTAGAGCAGTAATTATATTAACAATATGTAAACATTTTGCTTTAAAGAAAAAAAATCTTTTTCATCTGTCAATAAGCTCTATGCAGAACTCCTCAAGTGGAAAAGTTTTAGTTTCACCTGGTTAAATGTTTTTAAAAGTCTTCTTTAAGGAAGCTTTTGCCATCTGCTAATGAATCGATTAATTGAAAATTGATTAGCAGAATAATCATCAGTTGCCGCTCTAGTTTATATATGGAGGCTGGGCAGGTGAGTAATGATGCCTGAGAACTAGGGCTGAAACAGTTAAATGTGATTAATCAATTATTTAATTGTCAACTAATTTAGTATTGGGTTAATTGTAACTGGAGTATATGCCTTCAGCTGACAGAACAATCCAATTAGAGCAGTAACTATATCAACATTAAAATATAATATTTGATTTTAAGGAAAAATAAATCTTTTTTGACTGTCAATATGTTCTGTCCAGAATTCCTCAAGTGTAAAAGTTGTAGTTTGACTCTTAATTTCGTAAAAAAAAAAAAAAAAAATCTTTAAGGAACCTTTTACCATCTGATTATTATTTTTATTTATTTTTATTTAATTTTTTTTAAACAGTGTCCTGTCTGGCAATGTGGCAATAAGAATAATTGTCTTAATGCCAAAAAGAGCCCAGCAGATTTTACTTTCATGCATATAAATAGCTTTATTATAATTATGCAGGGAGTTTTACAGTTTGTATGCACACTGCAATGTAAGTAGAGCACAAAAACAGAAGAAGAAAAAGAAAAAAAAAAGATGAAAGAAAGAGGAGATAGAAAGGAGACAACGACAAAACATTTTCAGTCCGCTGCATCACCTGTAACGAGATGCAAAAAGAACAGCACGACCGAAAGACGTGGTCCCATCCGATTAAGTTGAAAAAATAACCGACAGATTTGCAGAATAATCGTAAGGTGCAGCCCTACTAAGAACTTAACCGATGCACTATAGATTAATTTAGGAGAACAGAAAGTTAATGGATTAACATGAGGGAAAAAAAGACCCCAGTGGCTCTAATTCTGGCTGCTTTGCTCTGGTTTCTTTGCTTCCAGTTTCCTGTTCTGAAAGTTTGCTCTGGTTTCTAACAATGATGAATAAGAAGCGTTTTAGTTGTTCTAACAGTTCAGCTGTTTGTGGCTTTAGAATGTTCTTAATAAACATCCTCCAACTCTGATCTGATTGGATTCCTGTTGGACATTTCATTCCTGCCGTGTTTAGCCCTTAAAGCTGAGATTTGTTCTGATGAATTCCAGTTGATAGATGAGCAGATCCTCTGTGTCCACGGCGGCCTTTCGCCTGACATCAAGACTCTGGACCAGATCCGAACCATCGAACGCAACCAGGAGATTCCCCACAAAGGAGCGTTCTGTGACCTGGTTTGGTCCGACCCGGAGGACGTGGACACCTGGGCCATCAGTCCCCGCGGCGCCGGCTGGCTGTTCGGCTCCAAGGTCACCAATGAGGTAACGCCGTTAACCGACCCGTAGAACCTTCTGCTAGTGGACCCCTCAGGGTGACCCGGTTTGTTTCCTCTCTACCAGTTCGTTCACATCAACAACCTGAAGCTGATCTGCCGCGCTCACCAGCTGGTGCACGAGGGCTACAAGTTCATGTTTGACGAGAAGCTGGTGACGGTGTGGTCCGCTCCCAACTACTGCTACCGCTGCGGGAACATCGCCTCCATCATGGTCTTCAAGGACGTCAACAGGAGGGAGCCCAAGCTGTTCCGAGCCGTGCCGGACTCTGAGCGGGTCATTCCTCCCCGGACCACCACCCCTTACTTCCTGTAAGGTCCGCAGCCCCGCCCCCTCCATCTGCTTCAGAGGGTATTCATCAGCACCAGTCAGAGAACGATCCAGAGCAGGAGGAATCGGTCGGAACCAAAGCCGCGACTCGGTTTCTTTCCGGTTTTTGAGATGCTGACTGTGAAGCAGAAGGTTAAACCTGTGGGGCACCTCTGGTCTCTTTGTGATAATTTCCCAGCTGCAAGTGAACACCTCAGATTCTCAGCCTCTGAGCCCATCCTGCAACATTCTGCCTTAAACATTTTTAACTTTCTTTAATTTATTCATCTTAAAATGTCACGCACACACTGTTTTATGTTTTTATTTTCTCAGACCGGTGTTTGTTCTCCTCTGTGTGTCTGAAGCGGGATGAAGCAGTTCCTTAACTGAGGGGTTTACGTTGAATCTTGATTCGCTCGGTATAGATGCACCGATTGCTGCCTTTAGGCTGATGTCTCTAAGAACTGACCAAACACACACACACACACAAAAAAAAAAAGATAATTTCTGTAAAACAGGATCTTTGTCAGCGAAATGTTCTAATGTTTGAGCGTTTTACAGACCATGACAGTTAGGCGGAGTCATCCCATCTGTCCACCAATCGGTGCGTCCCTCATTATCTGTGGCATTATGTCTGTGCCAATTACCAGCTCTGCACAGCGGCTGGAGCTCACAGCTGACTTCCAGTTTGTTTACCTGTCTTGTAATTTGAATAAAAATGTATTCACTCTCATGTGTCTTATACTTAATATTTTCTAAAAGCTTTATTCGTTTGATTCTTTATACTTAAATATTTTAAATAACAAAATCCACTGCTTATAAATCGGACATGTTTCTGATGCTACTCCTGTTTGCAAATTGGGGAGAAAATGGTGAGTATTCTGGAAAATGTTTGCTATATTGATTCCAATAATTGCTAAGCGAACATGGCGGTTCATGGGGTCGATTCTTGGCTGGTATTTTACACAAAAAAAAGGCAGATTCTTTGGTTTGGATGGAGGAGAAACGAAGGCAGTTTGAATCCAAAAGGTTCTGAAATTTCATT